CTCCAGTCTGGGTGACAGAGTGAGACTCCAACTCAAAAAATAAAAATAAAAATAAAAAAGTTAGACTGGTAGTTTTTAAATAGTTGGGAAGAATGGAAAACTGATTATGAAAATTATAAAAGGACTGTTGATCTCAATAGCCACATTAAGTCTGGATATAACACATTTATCATGACAGTGGTAATAATTTTGTAAGTTTTGTGCAAAAGAGTGCAGAAGGCTAGGTGTAAGAAAGGAAGAAGGAGACAATCATATTCATCTGGGATGGAGTTTTACTGGGTGGTTGTAGTGAAGAAACATTGAACAAGGGAATGTAGGATGTGAGCATGAGAGTGATCAGGTATGGTAAGTCAGGGAGTCAGCTGGATAGGAAGAAAATTAAAATAGGAGAGATTGTTAGGTAGTAGAGGCACTGTGGAATGAAGGTCTCATCATACAAGATGTAGGAGTAGCAGAATAAGAGGTTTAGAGGCATACAAGACTGTGTTCTCAGGAGAAGGTACCTGAAGTTATTGTAGAAAGAACAGTTCTTGGTGGTGCAAAAGTACAGGATGTAGTCAGGGCACTAGTAACAAAACTGGAATGGAGGGGAAGGCCTAGAGAGTGAGAGGCCATGTTGTTAGGTTAATCAGTAGACCCGGAGATGGTGGCAGAACTTGAGGTTGAAAGAAAGATGAAGAGAACAATGTGTTTCTAAGCCAAAATATTCTTATGAGTCTTTTCTTATCAATACTCCTAGTTAATTCCAAACTAAACTGTTCATTGGTTTTTATTGATAAAGGTTTTCAAGAAAATCCACTCTTGCATCTCCGTTTTCTAAGTGGGTTTTCTTCTATTGAATGAATGTAAGACCATTTTCTAATTTCTTACCATCTATAGCCCTTTAGTATAAAATTGCAGCTTGATTTCTATATATTGGGTTAAATATAGCTATAAATGAGTTGTTTGAGACATAAGAGATGGGTTTACCTTTAGCAATACATTTTAGGAGAATTGGTTGATTGCATGTACCTGGGCATTTGAACTCCTAAGCACCTGGCCACTCTCTATTAGAGAAAACACATACTTAAAAAAAATAAATATAGGCATTCTCCTAGTCGTATGTGTGGAAAACTTGAAGCAATGGGATGAGTACCTGATCCTTGTCTCGCTGTTGCATCTATCAGACTTTCCTTCCTTCCTTCCTTCCTTCCTTCCTTCCTTCCTTCCTTCCTTCCTTCCTTCCTTCCTTCCTTCCTTTCTTTCTTTCTTTCTTTCTTTCTTTCTTTCTTTGCTGGAGTCTCACTCTGTCACCCAGGATGGAGTTCAGTAGCATGCTTATGGCCACTGCAGTCTCGACCTGCTGGGCTCAGGTGATCCTTCTGCCTCAGCCTTCCAAGTAGCTGGAACTACAGGCATGCCACCATGCCTGGCTAATTTTTGATTTATTGTAGAGATGAGATCTCACCAAGTTGCCCAGGTTGGTCTCAAACCCGCGGGCTCAGGCAGTCCTCTCATCTCAGCCTCCCAAAGTAGCTGGGATTATAGGCATGAGTCACTGCATCTGGTCTCTATCAGACTTTTCTGCCTGTGCAGTTTGAACTGATCTTTCCACCTCCACCATTATGGATGGGAGAAGACCTAGCTTACTTGGGACCACAGACTGCTAGAATTGCTCCACCTTTGGTTTTAACAGCTTTATTGCAATATCACTTACTTATGATAGAGTTTGCCCGTTCAAACAGTACTCCACATCTTTAAAATAAAAATTTAAAAACAAAACAAAAAACCCCAAAGTGTACAGTTCAATAGTTTTAAATATATTTTCAGAGTTGTGCTGTTTTCATCATAGTCTAGTTTTAGAACACTTTCATCATAACCGCCCAAACCCTCGTACCCTTTAGCAGTCACTCTCTACCCCCCTCACTGTCCGGCCCTAGATACCCACTATCTGTTTTCTGTCTCTATAGACTTGCCTATTCTTAGCATTAAGTGAGATCATATAATAGGCGATCTTTTGTTACTAGCTTCTTTCATTTGGCATCATGTTTTTATTGTAACATTTACCAGTACTTCATTCATTCTACTTTGTTGTTGAATAATAACAATTCCTTTGTGTGGGGATATCACATTTTATTTATCCATTCATCAGTTGATGAATCTTTTGTGTATAACTTTTTTGTGTGACCATATGTTGTTGCTTCTTTTGGATAGATACATAGGAATTGAATTTCTTGGTCATAGGGTAACTATATGTTCAACATTTTGAACCACTTCTAAACTGCTTTCAAAAGTGCTATATCCCTTTACATTTCCACCAGCAATGCATGAGAGTTCCAATTTCTCCACATCCTTGCTAACACTTGTTATTCTCTGGCTTTTTAATTATAACTATTCTGGTGTGTGTGAAGTGACCATTTTTTCACCTTCAGTTGTCTACATATCTTCTCTGACATGCTATGTTTCATATCACTTTAAGCTAGGGATCCTCTATCTTTTTTCTACTAAATGCACTAAAGACTGGAAGTAATCTTAATCCTTAACTTTGGTTTACTAATATATGATGGCTATTTATTCTCTCTATAAAGAAGATTTATTAGGGAGGAAAGATCCTGCTCCAAGTTCCACTTCTGAAAATAGAAAATTAAAATTTAATTAGCCTACAGGCAACACACTTGACTTCTGTTCTCCTCCCCCCCAACTTCATCTCCCCACCCCCAC